TGCCACTGTATCTGAGCACCTCCCAGTGTGAGGTATTTATCCTTGGGGCATGCCATTGAGGTAGGGAAGTGCTATAATCTGCATGTGACAGATGGAGAACTAAGGCCCAAATCCTCACAAGTATTTAGGTTCCAAACTTCCACTGAAACCAGTAGAAGAGAGAGATTAAGTAACATACCCCAGGCATCATGGTACAGCTGGCACTTGACTGGGGACATGGGAAGCCTGATGTCAACACCCTACTCACCAGACAATATTCCCTAGCTAGAGGGGCTAAAGCTCTTTGGAGTATGCTGAATGGAAGTCTCTTGCATTGAAAGGGTGGTCTAAGTGACACCATATAGGAAGTCTTTTCTTTGTCTAGTTTCCAAAATGCTATAACAACATGCAGGGCAGATATCTGGAGTTAGAAAAAAGTCAGCAAGTAAAAGCCCCTCTAAAGGTCAGCCTCCATGCAACTTCTGTGTTCCAGAAGTCTGGCAGCTGCTAGCCAAGAAAGATTAAAACATCTGGCTCCCTTGAAATACATCCCTCAAGTTATCGCAAGAGGAAGAGCAACTAATTTGACATAATGTTTGGTGTCCAGCTCTAGCCAACTGTCAAGAAAAATAATTTACATTACATAAAAAAATGTGACTTGAACGTTATACTTGTCTCAACACTAAGAACAAGCATCCTGAGAAGACATGGCACGCATTTAGTCTGTACAGTTCAATCAACCGGTAGCGAGAGCAATCCAACCAAAAACAAAGTAAAACAAGTGGCATGTAGGGAGAAGACTGGGAAAGGAAATGTTCAACAGAAAGTCTTCAGCTGAAATGCATACACACCTTAGTATCCTGGGATCTACACATAAAATGAACATTAAAAACTGATTTAGAGGGGTAGCCGAGTTAGTCTATAACAAGAAAAAATTAAAAAACAACAAATAGTCTTGTAGCACTTTAAAGACTAACAAAACAAGTAGATGGTATCATGAGCTTTTGTGGGCACAGCCCACTTATTCAGATGACCAAAGTGTTGGAAGTCCAGAACCAAGAATAAATAATGGAAGGGAGGGGGAGGAAAAAACAGAGGCGGGAGGAAGAGGACATTGGGTAGATACATTTCAGAGGGATAGCCAAGCCAAGCTGCAACAGGAAAAACTTAAAAAACAACAAATAGTCTATTAGCACCTTAAAGATTAATTAATTAAAAGTGGCTGATAAGAGCCATTAGTTTGCACTAGGAAAGGAAGAGTACTAACACCAGATTCTACACAGACATCAAGAACCATTGGCACCTTCATTGTTTGGTTGGTTGATAATGTGCAAGCCATCTGATATCGCGATTTAGACCATTTGCATGAGAGATAAACTTGAGAATGAAGTGGGGTTCCAATCCTTCTCTGTGTATTTAGCTTATGGAATTGGTCTGAAACAAAACAGCAACTTGTAGATCCCTTAATGAGTATCCAGGGAGGTTAAAGTGTTCCCCAACAGGTTTTTGTGTGTTGCCTTTTCAGATATCTGATTTGTGTCCATTAATTCCTTCCTATAGGGACTGTCCGGTTTGTGCAATATATATCGCAGTGGGGCATTGTTGGCATTTGATGGCATAGATCACATTACTGGATGTGCAGTTAAATGAGCCTTTGATTTGGTGGCTGATGTGGTTGGGTCCAGTGATGAAATCACTTGTATAGATGTGTGGGCAGAGTTATCACCGGAGTTGATTGCAGGGGTTGGTTCCTGGATGCTTATGATGTAGCTGTGTAGTGTGGTTACCAGAAAGGATTTGTTTCAAGTTAAGGGGTTGTCTGAAAGCAAGAATAGGTTTTTCCCCCAAGGCCTCAGAGTGAGGGGTCATTTTCCAAGACAGGTTGTAAATTATGGATAATGCTTTGGAGGGGTTTAAGTTGTGGACTATAGGTCCACAAGTAGATTTCTGTTGTTTTTTCTTTTGAGTCTGTCTTGAAGTAGTTCATGTTTTTTGGCTGTCAATTTGTTTTTTCACTTTACCAGGTGGGTATTTCAGTTTTAGGAATGCTCTTTATAGATCCTGTAGGTGTTTGTCTCTGTCTGTGGGATTGGAGCAAATCTGGTTGTATCTTAGGGCATGGCTATATACAAAAACTTGAGAAATGTATCTGGGATGGAAGCTAGAGGCATGAAGGTAAGCATAGCAGTCCATAGATTTCCAGTACAGGGTGGTGGAAATTTCTCCATCAT